AGTCAGCTTTGACCTCCTGGATCCGTCGGCATCCCATGCGAGCGTGACTTTTGCAGCAACAAGCCACTCTGCTCCAGCACTGGCGAGAAATCGCCGGCAAACACGCCAACACAGAAGCCTGCCTCATGCCCAATAATAAGTCGAGCAGCAAATCGATTCGATTTCTTGCTCGTGAATATCTCAAGAAGAAAAATCGCGGAAGTCCCGTCAAAAGCCAATGAGCTTGCCCAACACCTTCCTGAGCGGCTCTCAATCCCCGCATCCCCCGGACAGCAGATGCAACGCTCGTATCGTCGGCCAGCGTCGAGGTATAATCTGCAAGTAAGAGCTCTTGGGCTCTGTACTACCACTACAACTCGAACATAGAACCGATGCCCCTTTAAATGATGTCCACCAGACTGCTCTGGGAAAGCGGGGCCGATAGGCGCTTCAGGGTTGACAGACCTTCCAAAATCCCTTCATTAAGGAATATACCTTAAATCATACTAGAATCCCTAATATGATTTAAGGTATGTTCCTTAATTAAGGGATTTTGGAAGGTCTGGGTTAGGGCCTTATCCGGTATGACATTAGGGTGTGGGCGTGTGGGCGCTCTTTATGACATGTACGGCCCAAAACACCCTGTACACTGGTTCATAGACTTTAAATGGGTCTCTCCAGTTCCCTCAGTCCCCAAAAACAATCAATTCAGGAATAGGGAGTCCTCTATGATTTACAGCATGTGGCTTGCCCATTGGGTTCAAGCACCAATATATGTTATTCACAAGTATGTGCATATACATGTATAAATAAAATGTATGTATGCACGTATGACAATGTATGTGTTATGTATACATATATATATATATACATACATATAGCAGAGACCCTAAACCCTGAACAGTTCAGGTTTTGGTTGTTTGGTTCAGGATTTAGGGCTTAACCCTACTGTCACCGTCTGTATCGCTTACAGAAGACTTGAGAAGTTTGGATGCACTGCCTTTGAAGGGAAGTTTAGTGCTGAATACCGGACAATCGTTGACGAGTTTTCGTGAGCATTCGGAGTTTGGAGCTGTTCTTAAACCCTAAACCCTAAAAAATAAACCCTAAACCCTAAAAAATAAACCCTAAACCCTAAACACCGTTTCGGGGCCAAGGTTCATGAGTAAACCCCAAACCTCATTGTTGGGAAAGCGGGCAACCCAGGCAAAATGTCTGAAGCGATCAGACTGTGCCGGTGAGCACTCTCTTGCTGTAGTATTCTCCAAGGGTCAAAGGAAGGACCCTTAATAAGGACCCCTAGGTATATACCCTTAATATGGCCATTATATACCCATTATATAGCCCATTGCAGGGTAGGGGTCCCCATTGAGGGTCCCTCCTTTTGCTTTTTGGTATTCCGTGTATCCTGGGAACTAACCAGGCGGCCCTCTGAACCCCAAGCCCTAAACCCTTAACCCTCAACCGTAAATCCTAAAGCCCCAAACCCTAAACCGGATATTTAGTATTCCCTAAGGCTTAGCCCGAAGGGTCCGTGTACACAAATAGTATCTACTTTCGGCCCAATGTACCTACATAGGGAGTACTTTAAGGCAGGCTAATGTATATACTATATGAGTGCATGGACCCTTAGGTATTAGCTCGAAGATGCTTTTAATGCCTTTGAACAAATTAGCAGGTAAGATCCTCTTAAGCCCAAATAAGAGCAAATATAAAAATGTCCCAAAGCCCTACCTAGCCATCCCTAAGCCCCTAAACCCTACTGCCCTACTAAACCCTTAGGGATTAGCTCGAAGATGAAAGTTCGGACTTCAGAGGTGTCTCCCTAGGGTAGTTTAGGGTTTAGGGTTAGGGGTTTTAGGGTTTAGGGTTTAGGGTTAAGGGTTTTAGGGTTTAGGGTTTTAGGGTTTAGGGTTTAGGTAGAATTGCAGGGCTTCAATATTTGGACAGGGTGTGGGGCAACTATTAGGCTGCCCAGTGACCTAGGAATAAAAAGGGCTCCATTTTTGGCATTGGGTAACTTTGCAAGGAACCTAGGACTACAAAAAAGGGAATAAGGGTCCTGCTGGGCATCCTGGACTATGGCATATATACTAAGATAAGCTACAGGGCCAGTGAGGACCAAAGCGGGATACTATCATACGTTCCTCCGGCCCCTTTTTTGGGTCTACGGCTGAGGATCCAGCGTAACTTTCGGCTATGTATTTGCGAGGCTGTCCTTGAGGAGCTTACCTTAGCCCCTTGCCCATAACATTAAACATTGTATATTATCGATGTATGTTAGCTTCCCTTGCCGACGCACCTTCTGCAAGCTGCGTGTGGGTTTGATGAGACTTCTCGATTGCGTCGGGATCCTTGGTTACCATGAACCGGATGCCCTCCTCACAGTCTTACTCAGGTAGCGCAAGGATTTGAGGCTTCAGCAGTTTAGAGATTCAGACTTGCCTTTTTGCATGCTTTGATGATTTAGGGTCGCGGGCTTTGGACGGAGGAGGAACCTGACAATGAGAGTTCCGGTTGGTGAAGGGTTTAGGGTCTAGGGTTCTACATCCAGGGGTTGTATTTGTGCTGGGTGAACTACACCTTAGATTTCCCACTATTGACAGGCTATAAACATTGCAAGCGTCCAATCTCGAACGCCAAGCCCAAGAGCCCCAAGCCCACAATCCTGTACAGACCCCTTGTATATCCGATATCCCTAAGCCTAAGGGTCCATGCACCTATGTAGTACACATTCTGGCTCCCTAAAGCCTAAACCCCTAAACCCCTAAACCCTAAACCCTAAACCCTAAACCAAATTGAAAGTTGCCTAAATTCCCGGATTCCAGGATGTCTTTACTGGATAAAGTGTGGCAAGTGGACCTTTGGGGATGTGGGACCCTTCTAGTGCATACTCTTACAGCACCCCAACCCTGAACCCTAAATTCAACCCTAAACCCCTAAACCCTATATATAGTTACTCTACAACCTGGCCGAAACCCCTGAACACCAAAACCCCCGAACCCTGACCCCAAAAAACAAGTCTTACAAGCCCTAAGCCCTAACTTTAAAGCTTCCATTTCAGCTCTTCTCCATAGCAACGACCTCCGCCACAAGCCTTCTAATATATAGCGGATATATGGGACTCATATTATGGAGGGTGTAGCAGAGGGTTTTCCTCTAAACCCTCTGTTGAACCCTATGAAGACTCCATTAGTAAAGGGCCCGTCATCTGATAGTTGCAAATCGGGTTTGTAGTGACATGTTTCCGTATTCTAAAACCTGGATTACGGAGAGGATTAAACCTGAAATCCCATGTCGGGCTCTGACTGAAGCCCTTGAAAGCGTAGCTTGATTGAATTCCGTGCTAACTAGCTGTTGAATTCAAGGTCTTAATCCTAATGCGCACCACCGGGACGCCGGCCCACTTCTGCTGATGCAAGTAGATGTCATACAACTGCGCAAAATGACCTCAGAATTGGGTTCAGGCTGCAGTTGCTTCTTTCGAAGGAAGAAGGGGTAGAATTTAGATTTAAACAAACAAAAAACTTGGGGTTCAGGGTGAAAAATGACCTCATCCCGACTCGCATGGGGTCCTGCAATTGACTTGAAACACGGAAGAAAGCACAACCGGGATCGGTTGTCTCCAATCTTAACTCCCCGAGTGCCTTAGACCGCATATTACGTATGAGGTTTTGGGCGTAGCATTTAGGCCGAAGTTTCATCGGTGGCGTCCTGGCCGTGGCCACGAAAGCATGAGTCTTCAAACATCAAAACTCGCGAAGCCACAAACACAAGCCGGTTAATAAACGACCCCTGCCTCTTCACATACCCCTGCCTCTTCAAACAGCATCACGGCGGGAGAACGAAGAGGCCCCGATCGCAGGATCGTCTCTGTATGTATGTCTGGTCTGTGTATATTGTGTATATATACATATATATATATATATATGTACATATATATATATACACATACATATACATACATATATATACACACATATACAAATATATATGTATATATATATATATATATACATATATGTCATGGCGTACCCCCACCCTCCATAAACAGGCTAACCTCAAGAAAACCCGTGCATGTTCCGCAATGAAACTGGAAAGCTGCGGTGTCCAGTCGGATCCATCTCTAAGGTTCAAGCCAAAGGGCTTTTTGGTGGGAGTTGTGGGATTTGGGTTTAGGGGCTGAGGGTTCATGATTTCATATGGGAGCCTTGGTAGTGACCTTGGGATTTTTTGAATAGGAACTATACGAGCTTTACTAGCCTCGCTTCGGCATCTGGCTGCCGAAGGGTCCATGTACCCAAATAGTATATGCTTAAGCCCCAAAGTACCTATATAGGGACTACATTAAGGCCAAACTAAATACTATTTGGATACTTGGAACCTTCGGGGCTGCGAGCAACCGATGCAACTGAGAGGCTTTCGCATAGCTGCTGGGCCTGAGCCGAGCGTTCGGCTTACAGCTTGTATGTCTCCCAAACGCTCCATGTACCTTTATAGTACATACTTAAGCCTTAAAGGGGTCCCTATATAGGTACTTTAAGGCCTAAGTATGTACTATAAGGGTACACGGAGCCTTAGGGTCTGTTGTATGTATGTATGTATGGTCCTGTGTATAGTCGCACATGTACCTGTTCTCCATCAGGTACATAGAGACCTACATGCAGAACAAGACAGATATTTGTGCAGGCCACTACTGTTTGAGGGATAACCGAGGAATAGGTGTTGCCATGGGTTCACGCTGATATTGCAGGGCTGAGGGTTTACGGCTTTGAGATTGTATACAAAGTCCATGCTGGGGGCCTCGAGCATCCAACACTCCTAGCTGTGCTCCCTAGAGGCCCGCACCCTGACCCTCAACTCCAACGGGTTCTAAGTAAGTATGGACCTATTATTATATAGTAGAATGTGAGGTTTCTGTAGTAGGTATTACAATTTATGATGTGGGGAAATATTCCCCATAACAGTACCTAGGAGCTTTCAGGAACCACAACCCTTGCCGCCTTTGTCGTTGCCGCTGCTCAGGCGTACACGTGCGGCACCACCGCTCGCAGACGGTCCACCAGTTCGGCCCACTCAGGAGACTCCAGATCATTACTCTGCAGGTCAAGCACTTCCAGTGATCCTGCTTCGAAGTCGAAAGCAGCTCGAATCGAAGACCTGGTACGCTTGTTCTGCCTGCCGCCAATATCGTTGTCACGCAAGGCTAGTCTCTTCAAGCGCTTCAGGCCACGAACTAGGGGAGGCAGGTTGAATTCCAAGTGGCATGGTGAGAAATCTCCGTATTCGCTTATGAAGTTTTGCGAGAGATCCAGATCAGTCAAAGACTCAGACCAGAACGAGAATGCCCGCGCGATCTGCGGCGTTTTGTTCACGCTCGCGAAGTGGCACAAACCACAGCCTGCCAGGTCAATCCTGTGCTTTGAAGTAACAAGGGAGAAAAACGTATAGACTTTATTTTATAATGGTTCCCTTTCAGTCACCGTAACTAGAGACAAAAACATATAGACTTTTATTTCATTATGGTTCCCTTTCAGTCGCAGGTCCCGACAAAAATACTAAAGTATGGTACTCCAAAGCCCACCTATGGTCTCTATTGTAGTTCCTTTTTTTGGTTTAACCAATTATATAGTAAGGAACCTAAAAGGTAACCCCAAAAAGGAACTACAATGGAGACTACAGGCAGAATCCTTCTCAAGGACCCGAATGCCGGCTGGTGTAGAGCCATGAGGAATTCGACAGAAACCTGCGTCTCCTGCAGGTTCAGCCTGGGTGGAACTCAAATCCCATAGGCCCCATGGTAGTTCCTTTTTGGGGTTCATATTTAGAACCCTATTAGGAAATCCCCAAAAGGAACTACTATGGGGCCTATGGGTATAAGTTACTATATTGCTCAAATTAAATTACTATATGGGAGGGTTTCGAAAACTAGGGGTGCCTATTTCGGGCGTCCTTAGAAAAGGGATCCTACTATTTAGGGTGCTATATTAGGGTCCCCCATTTTCGGACACTCCCATATTGAGGAAACTTGAGTAAACCCTATAGTGTGCCACATGACCCCATTATGGCAACTCAATCTAAAAAGTTCCTCAAAACCGCAATCCAGCATCTCACACAGCGCTGGGAAGTGCGGCAGAATGTGTTCCTATACTGAACTTAGAACCCTAGCAAAAATTATGATTTTAGCTGTTTCTTAGGGATTATACTAACCACAAATAAAAAAATTCTAAGTACCCCTAAGGTTCGACCAGCCCAGCCCAGGAGCGGCCCAGCCCGGACCCGGAGACGTCCACCGAAACCACGCTGCGCCTCAGCTCCTCGCGAGGGCGCTACGACGCATCGAGTACCACGCAGATGCTAAGAATTGCTATAGCCGCTTCTCATCTTCAGTATCACCATCACCATCATCATAATCATCAAACCTAGAGGTCCATGTACGCAAATAGTATATAATTACTTTGGGCTCAATGTACCATAGGGAATATTTTAAGGCCAATGTATATTATACTATGTGAGTTCATGGACCCTTAGGGCAAACGACACAGAGCATGCAAAGAGCAACTATGACTACGGCTCTTCTTGCAGCTTGTATAGCCAAAGGCTCCATAGTAGTTCCTTTTTTGGTTCATATGGGTGGTTGTCAACATGATGGTCCCTTTTTGGGTCCCTAATATAATACGGCACCTAATATTTAGGGTACTCAAAAAGGGACCATAATTTTGACAACTACCCATATATAGGAATCCTATAAAAAAAAACTAGCATGGGACTTTGAAGTAACCAGGCAGGAAAAGCATAGACTTGTAGTTCTCAATGGTTCCCTTTACGTCACAGTTCCTGAAAAAATACTAAATATGGTAATGTAGGAACCTGATTAAGAAACTCTGGGGCTATAACCCCAAAGTAGTAGGATTCATATAATCAACCCAAACCAAGGGCCAAGGCTTCTTAATCAGGTTCCTACAACACTCCAACCCTAAACCCTAAACCCTAAACCCGAAAGCCCAGATTATGGAGCCTATGGGTAGCGGCTCCTCCTCGAGAGCTGAGAGGCCGAAGCCCAGGTGCCAGTAATAGGCCTGGGTCCACAGCCTAGACCCAAGAGTAAACTAGGAAAAAAAGGTGCCCTTTTTGGGTTAAAGGGTGCTTTTGAGAGAACCTAAACCCTGAAAAAGGGAATAAGGGCCTACTCTGCGTCCTAGCAGCCCCTCACTACTGCGGGTAAGTACGGTTTAGGGTTTATAGGGCAGAGGGTTTATGTAGGGTTTAGGTTACACTTTTTGAGGTAAACTGAATAACAACAACAATTTGGCGAACCTTCAACACCTCAACACATGAGTAAAAGGGCAGAACAAAAGGGAACCTAGAGGCTGCGCGGACCGGCCAGGACCGCTGCGCAGGCTCCAAATCCAGGAGGGGCAGGCGGAAGACGCCCTCTTTCCGAGGCTCCTCAACCGGGACCCTCTTTAGGGGGTTTAAGGCTTTAGGGGTTAAGGGGTTTAGGGGTTAGGGTTCAGGGGTTTAGGGTTTAGGGGCTTAGGGTTTTGTACCCTGAAAGAAGGGTGAAGGGTCCCAACTAATGGGTACTTAGGGTCTGATAGATGGTAGATGGAGAGTCTAGGAACGATTAGAACCGTATACCCTAAACATCCCTAAAGCCTACGTAAACCCTGAACCCTAAAGGTTTAGGGCTTCGGGTTTAAACCCCAAAACCGGCTTCCCGAGCCTCCCCGATTCTAACCGTTTTTGGGGTGAGCCTGAAAGAGTTTCGGCCATTGCCGGCTCAAGAGGGAAGCCCGGGGCCCTTAAGAAGGACCCCTACCTTAAGCCGGAATAACCTACCTTTTTAAGGACCTATATAAGGAAGTCATAATAAGGAACCCTAAAAAGGTAGGTTATTCCGGCTTAAGGTAGGTTTATACCCTGAATATAGCTATTATATACCCATTATATAGCCCATTGCAGGGTAGGGGTCCCCATTAAGGGTCCCTCCTTTTCCCCTTTGGTTCATGATGTCCTAAGGGTCCATGTACTCATATCGTATATACATTGGCCTTAATGTAGTCCCTATATGGGTACTTTGGGGCTCATGTATCTCTATATGGGTGCATGGACCCTTAGGGATGTTCAACATAACTTCGTGCTTTCGCGATCGTCGTAGTGTCATATCGCCGACATTCCTGGAACGATCAGAAACTGCCTCGTCAACCCGACTGCCTAACCTCAAACACCACATCGACATCAGAAACGGTTTAGGGTTTAGGTGGTTTGGCGCTTTCGGGGCTCCTTTGGGGCTGTAGGCTCCTGAATCGAAGAGAGGGCCTTGGCGACGTGGTCCTCCAAGCCGTAGTCGATCTCCTGGGCTTTGAAGTAGCCAGGGAGACAAAAGTATAGACTTTTATTTCATAATGGTTCCGTGTCAGTAACAGGTCCCCAAAATAGTATGAAAGTATGGTACTCTAGTCTCACACCCCGGCTGTCTCGCAGCCTCCAAGGCTGCCACCGAGATCATCCCGACATCGTTCCTAGTTTATTGTTGGGAGAGGATTGAACATGTACATGTTTATTCCTTATTGGGTTTAAGTACCCATAAAAATGTAAAATGTTACCCAACTATGACAAAGGTTCGCAGCAAAGAGGAGCTTCTTCAAAGATGGCAGCGCTTTCAGCAAGCTCGGCACATACCAGGAAGCCAGCTCTTCCTGCTCTGTGCCGAAACTGCGGACGAAGGCCTTGTCGTTCAAGTGCAGGTCCAAAACTTCCAAGGCCGTCAAAGTCCGCAAGCTCACGAAAAGATATGGCACATGGGGTGGCGTCGCACCAGAGCCCCCATGGAAGGAGAAGAAACCGTTGCAGGAAAGGTTCAGGTAAGTCAGCTTTTGAAGTTTGGGCATCGCTGTGCTAAGCGCCTCGATGCAAGTGTTGGCGTACCCCAAGCGGTTTCCGGAGAGATCCAAGGATGTGAGCTGCGGCATGTGCGACAGCAGTGAGACTAAGTCAGAAGAGTCTTGCCGGTGCTCGACGCGGTCCATCATCGCCATTGGCCGAAGCACACCGCGGAGGCACAGCACCGTGCACTGCAACCTCCTATCAAGAACGGCACACGAGAGCGCGTTCATCTGAGGCTCTGACATGACTCCGCTGCTTTCATCGCCACGGCAGTCCTTGAGACACGGATCGTCATCTTTCGCACCCAGCGAGAGCTGTCGGAGAGACCCAAGGGCGAAGCTTAGGCTTCGCAGCCCGTCGTAAGGCTCCTTCAAGGAGTGCAGGAGTTCGAGAGCGTTTTCGGGCTCCAGCTGCGTAGGCTGCGGCTTGAGAACTACCTGAAGCTCCACCGAAGACAGCTCTGAGTCGATGAAGGGTTGAAGGCTCCAGTCCTCTAAGGCTTCATCTTTCCACGTCAACTGCCAGGCATCCCAGGAGATTCCAGCAGTCGCTCCCAGCGCTTCGACGAGCACCCGCACGGAGACATCTCGTGGCACAACGACCTTTGCCAACTCCCGGCCTGCCAAGGAAAAGGCGGAGATGCCGATCGTCGAAACCACGGACATGCTCGAGGCCGCACGGGAAAGCCAAGTGCAGGGTTGAGTCTTTGCATCTGTTTGTATGTGTACGTGTATGGGTATGTGTAGGTGGGTGGGTGTGTGTGTGTGTGTGTGTGTGTATGTGTGTGTGTGTGCGTGTGTATGTGTAGGTGTGTGTAGGTGTGTGTGTGTGTGTGTGTGTGTGTGTGTGTGTGTGTGTGTGTGTGTGCAGGTGTGTGTGCATACATATACATATATAACTATATATAAGTATATATATATATGAGCAAATAAACAAATAGATCTCTCTCTATTTATATATATATATAATTACGGACATACAGCTGTGTGTCTGCTACCTGAAGGCAAACGGATCCTTCGCCTTGATACAAGAACACTAGCCAGAGACTGCATGCAACTCATGCATTGCTACTAAGAGGAAACCGTGTGCGCATCCCAGACCCGTCTGACTAGCAGTGACTAGCACTAGTACTACGGTTGATGATATAAACCCTGCATTACCTTGATGACACTATGGGAAGTATGGTACAATCTTTATCATAGGTAGTGCAGGATGTATATCATCGAGGGCAGTATTGCCAGTATTCAACAGTAATCAAAAGGTCTTTTTGGCCCAAAGCGCTTACTGCATGCCTTCTGGGTTTCGGCGTGCCCTGGCCTATCTTTCGACCTTCCTCACCCTGGGGCTACAGATAGCTCAAAGTAGGCACTACTTAAAGACTTTAGCCACAAAATAGGTACTACTTGTATCCTTGGAGCCCTTAGGTTACTGCGATTTCCTGGCCTAAGTGCTTCGAAACGCAGGCTTTCTAATTTTCAAGTAAAACCTCGATCGACATAAAACCAGAGCTGAACCCTAAAGTTTACGCTTTAGGGTTTAGGTTTTAGGTTGTAGGGCTTTGGATTTAAAGCTAAAAATTATAGGGTTTGGGGTTTGCAGACGAGCCTTGTCGAAATCGGTATGGATCTGCTGCACCAGATCTCTTTGCGCTGCCCTGGAGAACTTTTCGAATCAGGCGTTCAACTTCTTCGAGAAGTTGCTCAGCGTTCAAAACGGTATTTTGAAGAGGTTTGAAGAAGATTAACCTTAACCTTGAAGCCGGAACCAATAGGCCGACTACGGCCCTAGCCCTGCAATCAGAAGCTTGTAGCCGGAAACCCCAACAATGACAAGCCTCCCCTAAGGCTCCATGTGCCCATATGGTAGGTACTTAGGCCTTAAAGTACCCATATAGGGACCCCTTTTAAGGCCTAAGTACCTGCTATATGGGTACATGGAGCCTTAGTGTTCTTTAGGGACTCATAGCATGTTGTGATGGGTGCGGAAGGCAGCTGGGGAGCCTAAGATGAGCCGCCGCTTGAACACTTGGGTGGTTGTCAAGATTAAGGTCCCTTTTTGGGTACCCTAAATAATAGGTGCCGTAATATAATGATGACAAAAAGGGACCCTAATTTTGCCAACCACCCACTTCGCTGTGAAGGACAGCCCCGAGTTTTTCGCGTTGAAGGACAGCCCCGAGGCTTTCTTGTTGCAGTGTTTCCCGCAAGTCCTTCCTTTCTAGAACCCTGAAGGTCCATGCACCTTACTATCCTTTACTCTCCCAAATATGAACTTACCCTAAGGGTCCATGTACCCAAATAGTATAAAACACTTTGGGCCCAATGTACCTACCTAGGGGTTGCTTTAAGGCCAATGTATATACTATATGAGTACACGGACCCTTGGGGCTACATATCCACTATCCTAGAAACCCAAGTATCTTCTTACAGTGGAAGCCAAAAAGTTGGACACCCCATAGCCTCAATCCTTAAGAGTCATGTATAGGGAATCCCAGCACTATTTGGCCTTAATCCGGTTTCCAACTTTATGGGGTTTACTGTATTGGGTCCTTTGGACCCTTTGGGTAGAAGGGGCCGGCCTAAAAGTCCGATCTTGCGCCACGACGTGGCCCGCCAACGCTGCCACTGCGTTGGTCTTAAGATGCCTGGACGCGGGTTTAGGGTTATGTTTTCGCGTTTTGTGTTTAAGGTCTATAGGGTTTAGGGGTTAGGGTTTAGAGTTTAGGGGGAGTAAAAATCTAAACCCGCACACAGTACAGCCAAGAACCCTTACTTGCACCCTAAACTTTAAACACTAAGCCCAAACACCTAAACCCTAAATGCAAGGGTTGGGCGAAGCTCCTTGGGCTCTGTGTGCTATCTCGGCTTCAAGGATTCCCTATAATCTCCAGTGTAGTTCCTTTTTTTGGTAAACCAAAATCCCTATTATAGGATCCTAACCATAAAATTGGATAACCAAATAAAGGAACTACAATGGAGACTATGGGTAGGTTAGGGCTAGTATATTCGCATCCTGCCAGGCCCTGAACGTGCCCTAAACCAAAGGGGAAAAGGAGGGATATATAAACGGTCCGGGATCCTAAGAGAAAAGGGATCTGCCTAGACCCTCCATCTACCCTCCATTAGACCCTAAATGCCCCTTATTTGGGACCATATAACCCTATTTGAGGGTACAAGGAGGGTCCTGGTGGCTTCTCGCAAGTTTTAGGCTTATTTATGGGGTGTGGGGCCGGCTCTACGGTTTCCCTAAGGGTCCATGTACCCAAATAGTATATGGAGAGTTGTCAAAATCAGGGTTCCTTTTTGGGTACCCTAAATATTAGGTGTCGTATTATTGTAACCGGGATCCAAAAAGGAACCATACTTTTGACAAGCACCCATATACTTCGGGCCCAATGTACATACATAGGGAGTACTTCAAGGCCAATGTATGTACTACATGAGTAGATGGACCCTTAGGGTTTGTGGTTTGTTTAGGGAGTCTGAAGAACTACCGATGATCTGTAATATGGGAGCCTTAATAAATAGAATAGGGTTTTGGGGCCCATAATCGTATACTTATAATAAGGAACCCCCAAAAGAGTATTGGTAGCTGTTTAGGCCCCTATAGTATCGAAACCCGCCCGCTCCTGCTGTATTTTCGGTAGGTGGCCACAGGGGCGACTTGGTTCACGGCCGCCGAGATGTGCTCTAACACCTGCCAAGGACCGGGTCCACAGGGCTTCTGGCTTTCCGGTTTTAATTAAGTAATCTAAACCTCTGAACCCTAAACCTCAAAACCTGTGAAATCCCAAACCAGAATGCAAGCATAGTCAGGAACCCTAAGGCCCTAAGGAATGATATTGGCAATTATTGAAGCTTCCATGTTAGTTGTTAGTTGGACCACCACTTTCGCCCAATGGGGACCGGCATTTTCGCGCCTGAACCCCACACCCTCAACCGCTAAATAGACGTAACACCGTAACAGCCATTTAGGGAATACAGAGAATCAACAGTGAAGCCGATTTACCAAGATTGCAGGCTTTAGAGAGGCCTCCCAAGCCCTTCGTCGCGAAAGCAATGGGTGCTTTATAGACGCACGGGGCCGGCTGAGAACTAAATCCCAAATCCTAAACCTCAAGCCCTTCATGGTAATGCAAGGGTCGGAAATATTTGCAACAGTATCCCCTGACAGCCCCAACATGATGTTGGTAGAACCTCCCCAAAGCCGTGTTCTCAACCAACAGCCCCCTAAACCCTAAACCCGCCCGTTCTGGTACTCCAACCTGCCTTCTCCAGGCCTTGGATGAACTCTTGTCGGCCAGGTTGAAGGACCATCGGGGCAGAGGCCTGGGAGGGTCTACGACTGAGTACAAGAGCTGAATAATTATCCTATCCCTCCAAGGACCTCAGAGTTAGGGCCCTAGAATCCTTAAGGACCCCATAATAAGGTCCCTGGAGGGCTAGGGTTAGAGTAGGGTGTTGGGGTGTGTGCGGACCCTGAGAAGGAACCTGAGGGGCCTGTCACTGACTTTGAGGAGCAGAACCTGGTCTGGTTTGGTGAGAATGCTTTAAACGCAGCGCGCGATACCGAACCAAAACCGAACCATGTAGTATAGGGGCCTTCATAATAGAATAGGGTTTTGGGCCCATGACACTATAATCATAATCTATAATCATAATAAGGAGCCAAAAAATAGTATGGCGCGGCCAATTATGAAGGCCCGTTAGGAAGTTCCGTTCCTCTGTTCTTGGGGAGCCACAGGAGCCCTGCCCCAAATCTGGCCTCGTCAGTTCAATTACCCTCCCTAAACCCTAAACCCTAAACCCGAATCCTTAGGCCCTGGAATGCCCGCCACCTCCCCCAAAACATGACCTAAGCTGTACGCCAAATGATCATATGACTGAAAGCTTCGATGCAACTAGGAGATTCAACTGAAGTGTGCGATAGCTGGCTCGGTTTCGGGGGACCGTTCCAAATTTGTATTATCATCGTATGGTATGGTATACTAAAGTGCAATACATTATCTTATGTTACGATAATTATATTAAGATTGAATATTGGATTAGAATAACCACGACTCTAATCGTGGAGTCAGCAGCTCACTTGCCACAATCGTTGGATTGGACACAAGGCGCCCGTGGGAGTTAGTGGTTGCCGTATGGTAGTGAGGGTTTACTAATTAATCCAGAACCGGGACCCCCTATGCACATGAATTGAAATCTTTGTGAACGAAAGCCTGAAGTCTCATCAATTGGCTGGGTCCTAGTACTTGCAACACATGCCCCGATCCAGATGCGAAGACACTCAAACTACACTTCAGGGCCCCTATGATATGGTCCATGCATTCTGAGACGGCGGCCTTGTCCGAGCCAACACCCCGGGCACCTCGCGTGTCGCTGCAAAGATCGGCGAACGGCTTCGACAGGGACTGCGCCCTAATCTTTCGCTACAACCTAGACCCCCCAACTACCCTTTAATATACCCTAAATACCCACTATTAAGGACCATAAGGGCTATATTAAAGGGTACTTGGGGGGTCCTGGAAAAGCTTTAACTCTTAAATCTCTGTCCGTCCGTCATTTCCCTGTCCGTGAAATTGCAACAAGGTACGTAAAGTTTGGGTATTGATGCACTGTTCGTGTTCGGTCTAAACGTGAACCTACACCCTAAACTCTGAAGGGTT